CACTTTTTTCCACAATATGGCCAGGACAAAACAAAGTTGAATGGATAAGTTAAGAAATGATATCGACCGAGTTAGAGTTCAGACCGTTGGCTCCGGCTAGCTCGGCTAGCTAACGAGTGAGTGAACGCGCACGCAGCGGCTCGAACTTTTTTTCTGAGGGGGCAGCGTTATAGCTATTTGTTTGCTGGTCTTTGAAGGCGAGGGGAGTATTTAATTCGGCGGTTTTTCCTTACCTGTCCGACCACGTATGGTGGAGTGTGGGGCGACGGTGCGAGCAGCCTTGTCCCGAAAGTGCCCCTTTTTCCGAGCGGAGGAGGAGCGGCTCGGTTCGGTAACTGTAAGATTCGAACCGAACCCTAAAGACAACGGCCGAAAAAAAATCCGCGAGCGCAGGGGGATCTACGCCAAAAGCCACATGACCAGCGACGTCAGCAGCGGCATTTGCATACGATACGAGGAGCCCGTCCATGCCGTCCTTTACAAACGCGAGCCGTGTGCGCGTCCGTTTGTTTAAAGGAAAAAACTTTCGTAATGACTGACTGAGTGTTGACTGAGGGAATTGAGCCTGTCCTCTCGGCAGCGACTCCTTTCACGACTGAGCTTCCTCCCTCTGAAGCTGAATGAAGCGCTGTGGTTTTGACGTATCCCTCTGCTGTTTTAGGTGATAGGTCATTGAATATTCAGCATTTTGTGCGAAGCCAGCGACTGATAGGGCATCTCTCTCTCTCTCTCTCTCTCTCTCTCTCTCTCTCTCTCTCTCTCTCTCTCTCTGATCTCCTCCTACTTTCAACCACGAGTTTAGGACGAACACAAAAAATGATATCTATAGGCAGCTATTTGGATGAGTTTATTAAAGGGGAACTCCACCAATTTTTTACATTTGGAAATTAAGTCATTCAGAGCGTTTTGATGTGCAACGCATCATTTTAAAGAAATCTACACAGTCAGAATGTCATAGAATGGTGGTGGTAGGAACCAGACATCCGAGGCACTTACCGCATTTAAAGGTGCATCACAAAAAAGTCATTGCATGAAATGGTTACGAATATGCTGTGGCACGTTTTACTGTAGTTTTGCTTATAAGGTTTCGGCCAAAAACACAATTTTTAAAATCCATTCATGGCAAAAGGGTGCAGGGTGTTGTAAAGCAAAATAGTCCTCAAAGAAAACCTTATTTTGTGGATTTCCCACTGTTTTCTGTGTAGTGTAAGTACAGGTAAATAAAATTAGTTACATTTTTGTGATAGACATTGTGACCCCTGGTTCCTATCAAATTCAGAACCATTAGCCAAATGTGTTCGCACACAGACCTCCGCATTTAACCCATTGGTGCAGTGAAACACCACATACACACGAGTGAACACACACACTAGGGGGCAGTGAGCAGACTTGCCCGGAGCAGTGGGCAGCCCTATCCACGGCACCCGGTGAGCAGTTGGGGGTTTGGTGTCTTGCTCAAGGGCACTTCAGTCACGTACTGTCAGCTGAGGGGATCGAACCGGCGACCTTCCGGTCACAAGAATTTTTAAAAATCAGTGGCGTTCCCCTTTAATGTTATTTGTTAAAGAAAATATTATATAAACTCATAAATCTAAACAAAATAAGATGTCTTCTGGACAATTCTGCATTTAAAGAGTAGTTTGAGTAGTTTGAGTAGTTTGGCCAACTTGTATTTGGTGTACAGGACTTTTTCAAGCATTTGGTCTATAACCCGATTTCCAAAAAAAGTACAAAATGTAAATAAAAACAAAATGCAATGATGTGCAAATCATTTACACCCTATATTTCATTGAAAGTAGTACAAAGACAACATATAAAAATGTTGAAACTGAGAAATCTTTTCTATTTTTTTTTTTAAATATATGCCCATTTTGAATTTCATTGGTACAGGGGCAAACAAAAGGCTGGTAAAGTTGTGTGATGCTAAAAAACACCTGGTGGTTAGTTGGCAACAAGTCAATAACATGGTTGGGTATAAAAAGGGCATCCCAGAGAGTCTTTCAGAAGTAAAGATGAGAAGGGGTTCACCACTCTGTGAAAGACTGCACAAGCAAATAGTGTAACAATTCAAGAATAACGTTTCTCAGCGTAAAACAGCAAAGAACTTTTGCTTTTCATCATCTATGGTACATAATATCATTAAAAGATTCAGAGAATCTGGAGAAATCTCTGTATGCAAGGGACAAGGCCAAAAACCAGTATTTGCTGGCTATGATCTTTGGGCCCTCAGGCGGCACGGCATTAAAAACAGATATGATTCTGTAGTGGAAATCACCGCATGAGTTCAGTGACACTTCTGAAAAACACTGTCTATGAACACAGTTCATCACTGCATCCACAAAAGTTAAAACTCTTAAACGCAAAGAAGAAACCAAATATAAACAGTATCCAGAAATGCTGCCACCTTCTCTGGGCATGAGCTCATTAAGAATGGACCGAGGGGAAGTGGAAAAGTGTCCTGTGGTCTGACAAATCAACATTTGAAATTCTTTTTGGGGATCATGGACACTGTGTCCTCTGGGCTAAAGACCACTCAGCTTGTTATCAGCGCACAGTTCAAAAGCCAGCATCCGTGATGGTATAGGGGTGCATTAGTGCACATGGCATGCGTGACATGCACATCTGTGAAGGCACCATTAATACTGAACAATACATACATGTTTTGACAACATATCCTGCCATCCAGATGACGTCTTTTTCAGGGAAGACCTTGATTATTTAAGCAAGATGATGCCAAACCACATTCTGCATGTATTACAACAGCATTGCTCTGTATTAAACGAGTCCAGATGCTAAACTGACCTGCCTGCAGTCCTGACGTGTCACCACTGACAACATTTGGAGGCTTATGAAATGAAAAATACAACAAATGAGACCTTAAACTGTTGAGCAGTTGAAATCCTAAATCAAACAAGAATGGGAAAACATTTCACTTTATAAACTATAGCAGTCAGTCTCCTCAGTTCCCAAATGCTTACAAAGTGTTGTTAAAAGAAGAGGTGATGAAACACTGTGGTAAACATGCCCCCGTCCCAACTTTTTTGGAACATGTTGTTGGCATCAAATTCAAAATAGGCATATATTTTTCAAAAAACAAAAAGATTCTCAGTTTCAACATTTGATATGTTGTCTTTGTAGTATTTTCCTTTAATAATATGGTTTACATGATTTGCATATCATTGCATTCTATTTTTATTTACATTCTGCACAGCATCCCAACTTTTTTGGAAATGTGGTTATATTTACATTTAAACAGTTAGCTCATTAAAGGTTAATTGCACTGAATTTTCAAATATTTTTGCATAATTCTGTCGTTGTGATGTAAACAAAGTCAGAGGGGTTTGATTGTGAAATGGTTAACTGCAGAGAAAGTCACAGACTGACTTCTTTATAGTGGTAGTAATAAGAAACAGGGGTCCCAATGTCTAAAACACAAATGCAGCCATTTCATTTATTATCCAAAACCACCAGTGAACCTACATATGTATTCTAAATTTTATATGTAATGTTGATGATGGTAGAAAAAAAAGAAAACAGTTTTCTTTGGGAACTATTTTGCCTCATAACACCCTGCATGTACCCCTCCGCCATGAACAGATTAAAATAATGGATTAACAAGACGTTTTAGGCCAAAACTTCATCACAAACTATCATAAAACAGGCAGCATATTAATAACCATTTTGTGTAATAACTTTATTACATATTAAATCTGTGAGGGAGCTTTTAGAAGTGGACGTCTTGTTCCTATCACCACCACTGTGAACAATTCTGACGTTGTAAGTTTCTCTAAAACGAAGTATTTCACACCAAACCACTCTGAATGACTTTGTTTACATCGTAACCTTTGAATTGTGCAGAAATTTTGAATGTCAAGTTCCCCTTTAAGTATTAGTTATTTGCGTTAACGGTTCACTTCATTTGGGGTGGGTCGCATTAATGGTCTTTAGTTATGTGAGGTAAATTATTAGTATTTATTTGATACATTAGAACCAAATGTTCCTACAACAGAGCCAATGATCGCTGATTTGGACCTGAAGAGCAGCCAACTACCCAAGCTGCTTTGCACCCGTCTTGCCTTTCCTACTGAGTAAGCACTTATCGCCCTCTACTGGATTTTTCGTGAAGTGTAATTATACGTTACTGCATGGACCTGGAGAAATATAAATAGTATATTAGTAATATTAGTTTGAAACATTACCACTAACGAAACAACCTAGATAAAACATGTGCCAAACGAAATTATGTGTGTCATGACGTCGAGGTCTACTTTAATGTAATACTGTAACTCGCCTGGGACTATTTTACTGCTCCGTTTGAATGTGAGAAGTGATGCGTTTCTAATCAACACTTTCCGTTTCCCGCCCTCTTTGGCGTAGGGATACAGGTAAAGTTTACGGCTACAATACTAGCTAGATAGCTAGCTAGCTAACGAGCTAAAAGCGCTAATAACGACTATATTTTACCATTTGAAAAATAGAGAATATATTTTTTAAAGTATTTATTCGTAATTCACACTATAGCCCGAGAATGTGATTTTCTTAAACTTATACTTGTGTTTGTAGACCATTTTGAACTGCAGTTCTGTGCCATGTAGGAGCCTAGATTTGATCATTTTAATAACTAGACAAAATGTAATACGGTGTGGTTATTGCTAACATAAGACTGTATTTTTATTTATTATTATGACTTAGGTGAAGGTTGGGTCACATTTTCAAAGCAGTTCATGTAAAATTCCAGATAATTTCAAAGTGTTCACAAATTTACTCACATCCTAACATCTGCGCTAGCCTACAGGTCAAAGCAACGTTACCTCAGAAATAGCCTGCAAAACAAAATACCCCAAATAAGTTCAATGTTGTTTAATTAATACATTTCATACATTTATTAGTGTTATGATTCAGTTATTACAGCCTGTAGCCTATTTATAGTCGCTTTAACAAACGTCATTGTACAGTCACAGTTAGTCAGATGAGTATTAGAGATATTGATTGGCTACAATAGCATAGCTGGTGTCTCCCTGGGAACGTAGCGGACAAGAGTAGACTTTGCCCTGCATGAAGCTTTTCAGGAAGTAGACCTGCGTTGGAGCCCAGAGTAAGAGGTAAGGTGGGCGTTCTGATGTCAATTAAGCTAAAAGTCTTCATAAATATATGTAAAAGAAAGTAACATAAAACTTTTAGATTAGGCTGTGTCTCACTAAGATGATACACAGAAATCAGAAGAAGAGTGGGCTAGTTTTTTAATGTATGTGGGGGCTACTGTGTATTTGTAACAGAAATCTGTAGGATTGTTTTCATGAAATAAACATAGAACAGGTCTTATGTATTATTAGTATTATCCTTCCTAATTCATTTTCTATTATTTGGTTTCATAAACCACTATCGACACCCCATTATCAAAATGATATTAACTTTTCCTCTGCATTGCTTACTTCCACAGACTTACATGGAGAGACCAGCAGTGGCCAGTAGTGAACAGCTCCCTCCTCCCTACAACCCCTCTTGCCCTCCACATTACCCCCCTGGAGCAGGAAACAAGACTGAGGATGTGGTCATCCCTCCGGCCAGCAACATTGAAATGCTGGATGGTGCTCCCCCGGAGTACACCCAAACCTTTGAGGATGTTAACTGCTTCTCAGAAGCTTCTATTCGAAGAGGTTAGCTGATCTGTGTGAAATACACTTTTAACAAATAAAGTTTCCACTAAAGAACCCCAAAGAACCTTCTAGTGGTTGTATTTTTTTTTAAAGAACTCATTTGAATCCACTCAAACTGAAAGGTTCTTTAGGGAAACAAAAGTGGTTATTATATGGCATTGCTCCAAAGAACCCCTTTTTTATCACTTGCCATATAAAATTACATTTATCCCCTACTTTTAAAGCTGTGGGAAAATATTTGTACCTTTTCACAGTACCTTTTCAGTGAACAGTTAGGTGTGTGATTATTTGAACTAATGTACAATGAAGTCAATGGGCTTACAAAGTCCACTGTTATTCAATAAGATGGTGCTATTAGCAGTAATACAGGTTCACTACAAATCTTTATTTAAGGCTTCATTCTTAGTCTCAGTTGTTGGCTACAGTTTCTGTATCTATTGGCAGGTTTTGTGAGAAAGGTGTACTTGACTCTTGTGGTACAGTTACTGATAACTGTTGGAATCATTTGTGCCTTCCTCTACTGGTGAGTAACAATCTTATCGTCACATATCTGGTTAATCATTTCAGCATATATGAATAATTACATTGTACCAGGGAGAGGTTTGTGGTTATGCGACATGAAGTTCTCTGTGCGTGGGCTATTGATATCAACCAATCAGATATTCACACTCTTCAATCCCAGGCTAATCATTCAGTTATGAATGTCAACCTAAATTATCACGAATCATCATACCCCACCATTTAAAAAGCTAAATGTATTTTTTTCTTTGAACAAAGATTAGTGACTTCTGGCTGTTTCTGTTCTGATTTTCTGATTTTTGATTACATCACCATGCACCAGTGAGTGGGGACAAATATTAACCAATAACATCATGTTTCACATCTTCCCACCATCCCTACCTATAATCAAGTTAGAATGCTCAGCTAGCTACCCTCTCATAAATACCTCATGGTATGGAAGGAAAATGCATTGTGATTTTCAATTTTTGTATGTAAGTAGTTAAAATATGTAGGTAGTTAAAAGAGTGAGGACTCAAAATTAAGGGGGCCTTAAGGGGTTAACCATGATCCGGAATCTGTGTCAGTAAGTTCATAATGAAGAAGTTAAAAATGTGATCCTAGATCAGGACTCCTACTCTGAGAAGCTTTGTGAATTTGGGCCCAGGTCTTTCATTTTCATTCTTTAGATATTAAAATTGGCAAAAGAATTTCAATGTCACAGTTACAATGTCATTTTTGTCTCCTCTTCATAGGGAGACCCTGAGAACCTGGACAAGACGCACCTCATGGTTCACCTACACAATGATGTAATTCTTCTAAAATGCTCTGTCATGTAACTTAAGTGAGCTTACATACAGTCACTTTATTAGAAACTCCTACCTTGTACTTCCAAACACTGATCACTTTATGAACTCCACCTACCTTAAAGCTCCACTATATAGGTGTACAGTTAAAGCACAAATGAGCACTGTAGCTCATATTTTGTCATCTGTTAGCCGCTGTCCACTCCTTTCGTCATCGGTCAAATTGTGCATTAACAGATGACCTACAGTCTCTAAAAGTGTTTTTCTACTGTACAAAGTACTGGAATCTTTGGCACAAAAAAAACGAAACTGTGTTTTTTCAGTTGGCTATCAGCCCAGATAGAACCCGGAAGATTAATTGATTATTGGTACCTGCTTAAAATTGGTTTGAGACCTAATGGTAATCAACCAATGACAATTTGCAGTGCAGTACATCACTTCATGGAAGCCAGTAAGTTTAACTAACTAGCAAGCAAGTTAGGGGAGCATACATATGTTGCAAAGGCCCTATGTTCCCAGAGATCTGTGTTCCCTCAGCTCATTATATGATACAGTATGCCTCAATATGATACATTTAGTAAACATATAAAAGGGCACCGAAGGGTTACAGTCTTGGCTTCACCAAAGATAATACAGAGAACAGTGAGGAACTTTTTCCTAGGCTAAACTAGCCTAAATGAGAAAATTTGCTAGATAAGCAAACTTTGTCATGCAAACTATTTCAGAGAATTCAGAGTAAAGAACATATACTTTTAACTGTTCTGTCTGGTGTTTTGTTATTGGTAGTTCTAGCCCTTTGCTAGCTAACTAACAAGTTGGCCGAGTAAAGTATTAAACCTACATCAGCAAGAATTTATAATAGATTATAATATTATAATTTTAATACATTAAGCCCAGTTTGAAAGTGACAAATCAAATGTCATAGCAAGTAGTAGATGAAATCAGTAATAGCTGGGCAAGTTCTGCTCCTAGAGAACTTGAGGAATCATGATTGAGGTAACTTGAGGCTGAAACATGAGCCATTGGGAACATACAGTTGTTTCCTAGAGAATTTCAGTGAGGGACCATTTGACCCTGAGAACGTTGGGATGACCCAAAAGTTAGCTATTTAGCCAAATTAGATGCTTTAGAGTGATATGGAATTACAAAAATAGAAACTAAATCATTAACCTTGGTTATGATGGTTCCAGTTGTCTCTTAGGTGGAAAATGAACCAAACCATAACTTCTGTTGGTTTTTATTTGGGTTAGTTCTTGTTTTTGAATGTTAAGTGGAAGAACTAATTGTACACCTACATAGTGGGGCTATGGCGGGGGAGGTTTTCTGATACAGTGGTCAGTGAGTGTAGTTGAATTTCTAAAGCTGTGTGTGATTTCCTCACAAAGGGCTGTGACAATAGTTCTCATCATTGTGCTTTCTTGCTGTGGTGACATACGTCGGAAGGTTCCGTTGAACTTCATTTTCCTTGTGCTGTTTGTAAGTAGAACAGTTGAACTTCAATAGACTGCACTGAGAGCACAGTGATTGCATGCAGTACCTTGTGTTTTCTAACCAGTGCTACCCCCTACAGACTATTACAGAGGGTCTACTGCTTGGATCAGTTACAGTGTGAGTATACAAACCTTGAATGTTGCCTGATATCGATACCTATCTGACATTTTTTAACACAAAACTGTCTGTTACCCTACAATAAGGCACACATAGCCAACATTGTGGCTATTTTTTGTTTTTTCAGCTCAACTTTTTGACAAAAAAAAAACAAATATGTACAACATTAGACTGTTTAAAAGGACATTCCAGCCTAAAACTTAATATGTTATTTGAAATGTAATGTAATATTCTGTACTGCAGCTTCACATTCCTTAGCCCCGTCGGTTTGACAGAATTCACAATTTTTGTGTTTTAATCTCTCACTGCAATACCCAGCATGCATTAGGCATTAACCAAAAGAAATTCAAACAGCCCACCCACAAGTATCCTTCCCAAGGGCCCTTTTTTTAATTTTCAAAAGTTTCTCCCACCTTCAGTATACTTCATCAGAAGGTGTTTTCCTAATCTTTAAACCGGACAGTCTCACTCTAGAGACTTTTGTGGAACCAATGTAGGAGGCGAGTAGGCATGTTTATTATAGATATGGTAATGCTATAAAGTACTACTTAAATGCCCCTTTAAAACTATTTAGAAATTGTAATTCTACTACAATACTTATCTAGATAATCATTGTTCCTATGTTGGCATTAAGTTACATTTGTCTACTGAAGACTTTATTTTGCTTTACACTATGTAGTTCTACAAATGTTAGGTTCTTTCAGGCTTTACTTCATACCCCTGCATTTGCATTACTGAAAGCACTGAAGACCATCTGTTTGTTTTCAGGTTCTACAATGCGGAAGCAGTGCTGTGGGCAGTGGGGGCTACTGCCTTGGTGTCCCTTGCACTGAGTGTGTTTGCAATGCAATCTAAGGTCAGTGGCATGGTATTAAAGTTGATACAGTAGTACACTGTGGGAATACAGTGAAACTAATACAAACCCTGTGTTTAAAATCAAGTATTTTCGTAGTGTACTAACCACTTTTAGTGGAAGTATATTCACACTAGGAAATGCAACACAATGCAGAGTACTGGTACTACCCAGATGAATAAAACCACCAAAAAATGAAGTGTGGTGTAGTGTTTGCGCAAAACAGCCGTAGAGCTCCAGACATAGACCCATCAGAGAAATTTCAAACGCGAGTTAGATGTCACTGTCCTTGAATTACTGTATTTCAATGGGACATTATTTGTGTTGGACTATTTGTGATATGCAGCTAAAGAGTTCAAAATCAATTGAGCATATTATGTTACCGCTAGCTATAACCTAGGCACAGAGATGGGTAGTAAATGGTTACATTCAGAGGCGGATTTGGTGATTATGCAGCTCTATACAAAAGACAGGAATGGGGCCGCTAAAAAATATCTAGAAGTTAGTTGAGTCTCTGGGCTTCTGAGTGGTGCAGCTGTCTACAGTGCAAAAAAAGAAACTGAAAAAAGTTTAGTCAATATATCTAATATCTCTGATTTTGAGATTGTTGAAAGCATATTATAAGATAATTTAACTTATTTATAGACATTTGTACTTCAGTAATTATATTTAGTGAAATTATCTCACTGTCTTACAGTTTAAGAAAATGCTTGAAACAAGCAACATTGACAAGATTATTTTTACAGGTAATTATTAGTAACGTATTGCGAGTACATTTTTGAGAAAAGTAATTAGTAACTTGTAATGAATTACTTTTTTGAGTCACAAACTTTCTGTACTGATATAAGAAACTCAGTACTTAAGTAGTTTTTGGCCTGATACCTTTGTACTTTTACTCAATTTTTTGGAAAGAAGCCATTGTTTCACTGAAGTAACAGTACCTAAATACAAATACTTGGTGGATTTAGACTACTACATAGCCACTAGACAGTGAAGTACACAGTGTATAGTGTATATGAACTGTTAGAGCTAGTTTAGTCCATAAATGTGAAACCTTGATCAATAAACAAGAAAAAACAACTACATTAATAATGATAATTCTGCTAGAGCCCTCATTGTGTTTCTAATAATATGTTAGTGCTGACACTGGAGCACATAAAAGTTCTACATTAAACACGGCCATTTAAATAAACAGCCACACATTCAACTCTGTCTCCTCATTATTCACCACCATCACTGTAATATTTTATCTGATTTTATCTAAGTAGAGTTAGAAAAGAAAAATGTCTCAAAAGTGAAATGGCCATTTTGCATTATGAATAAATGTAGCTTAATTAAGCTAGTAGTGAACTATGCTGCCTGTCACAGTTACCTAAAAACAATAGAAACGGGCAGTGAAAACTGGGGTTGTCTTAAAGTTAACACAGAATTTAGGAAAATTAGGTTAGTTAGGATGCTCCTGTAATACTTAGTTAGTTTCCTTATTTGGAATTAGGATAAGGTTATGTTATTCCGTAATAGATACTGGCCTAAATTCCATCCTAACTGAAGTTGTTAAGGTGACTTAACAGATAAGATACGATATCGGAGTTAAGACATTGCTGTAATACAGCCCCAGGTTTCAATCTCTGCTCTTCAGTTGTGCAGTGTCATTAAATGAGCAACAACTGGGTGTGACAGATTAATGAGCACTAGCCATTTACAGAGATAAGTAGGATCAGCTGTCAATAGTTAGGGTCAGCCATGAATTAAAAATTTGTGTTTGGAAGCAGAGTTGGATGTATGAAATTCTCTGCCTAGAATAAGGAGTTTCTAGAGAGTTATTTTTGCATACTGCAGTATGATATTCTGATATTTAGATTACAGTTTGCAATCAGAAGAATGCTGTAGGAGTAGAGAAGCATAGTGTCAGATGTATCATGCAGTTGAGGCTGTGATGCAGTCAATGTACCAAGACATGTAGCAAGACTAGATCCAAAAAACAAATGTATCTCAGATAAATATTTTATAGTTTATAAGTCATCCCCACATTTGATTAGGTTATACCAGTAGTCATCAATGCATCTAACACCTAATACTGATGCATCTGACAAAGCCAATTAAGGACTTCTGAAGAAGTTAATGGAGTAAGTATGTCAGGTAGATGTCCAGGATCAGGGTTGATGACCACTGGGGTACAGAATACTGTGTGATATCAAAATCTTTCAAAATCTTTTCAACACCTTTGACAATGTGTGAACCTTTCATGATGAATGAACCATAGAAAATGACTCAAATGGTCAAAATTAAATGGCGTTAAATCTTGTTACATAAACATACATTAAAGTTAACGTTTTTCTGACAGTGATTATGTGTGACAGATATGATATTATGCTACACTGGTGTTAATAAAAAAAGGTGATGCTTTGGCAGCACTTTAAATCAGTGGTGCACAATCCTGGTGCTGAAGTACCCCTTTTTAGACTTTACCCTGCTCCCACCACACCTGATGCAACAATGAACTAATTAAAAGGCCCTTCCTGAGGTGATCTGGGTGTGTTGGAGCAGGGAGAACACTACAACATGCGGGGCAGTGGTACTTCAGGACCAGGACTGAGAGACACTGTCCTAAAGGAATATGGTCATGCCAGTGAAGCTGCCTTAAACTTAATATATAATTACAGCAGGGGGGAATCCTCGGGGCCTTCTAGGCCTGAAAAGGCCTGCTGATTTCTCTGAAATAAAAATACGTCTGTAATTGTTAGTTATTTTCTATTTAATATAATCATTATGCTTGTTGTACTTAAACTCTGCACATATTGTAGTAATACTGTAAGTAAGTTTTGGTTGGCAACAAAAGGGTTACATTTTTGAAAAGTCCAACAGAAAATGATCCCATCTGAATTTTCCTCCATTGTTGTATTAAGGTAGATACAGCCAAGTGAGCTCTCCCAATGGTTAGGACTTCAGAAGCTGATCTTAAGACCTAACATGTCAGATTAACCACTAATCCATAATTGGGAACTGACAGTGGAGTCAACCAATCATGTTTTAATTTACAATGGGTGGGAACAGTTTCTGAGAAAAAGTTTCACTCTAGACCTTCTGGAAGTCCGAGATACATCACTATGAGAGGCAGTCTAACCCAGTTTTCGTTCAGTTGCTGGAAATGGAAAACAGTAGTTCTAGGCATTTTACTGAACGGGCTACTGTAAAATGGCTACATGGTATTATTATTTCTACAAACTTTAAATAAAGGACAGGATGTGTGTTTTTTCTTGTTCTTGACATTTTTGGCCCAAGCCAATGGCCTAGTTCTAATATTTATGGTTTACCACTGAACTTCAGAATTACAGAAGTAGATATTCACAAGTCAGGAGGTTTATGTCAATTTAAAGTTACAAAATGGCCTAGTCAAGGTCAGACCAGCTTCCCTGGTACGACCTAACACAAACAGTTTATGCCTAGTGTCTTAATTTTACTTTTTTCTATGGAGGGAGTAAATGAGCTGGGCTATTCGGCTGCATTCAGTGCTGTTAAAGTTGTGTCAAATTTACAATGTCATCATACAGGCACCGCTTACATTGTGTTGTACCTTTTGCTTTTGGGTAGCCACTGAAGCCCAGAATCTCTGATAAAACCAGACTCTCAGGCATCATTTTAAGCTGAGAATCACTGAGAATCAATTTTTTGCTATCTACTGTTATTGAACGGTTTAGTGGGTCATGATCATTGGTTGGTGGGGTACTGCCCCATTAAATGACCCCCTGACATTGAGCCTGAGTGTAAAACTGTGCAAAATATGGCAAACATCAGACGGAGACAAATATTATATGCACATACATGTTTACACAGAGCTTATGCCAGCAATTAAACTTCTCAATATGAACTTCTCTAATATAAAAATGTATGTGCTCACTTATGTCCAAACTTTCTCTGCTTTTAGTGGGACTTCACCACAGCAAGTGGGTCCATTTGGGTAATATGCTGGACACTAGTCTCATTTGGGTTACTTTGTGCTATCATGAGGTCCCAGGTATGTAATATGATTGGCATGAATGAATCTGCCTTTCCATTCCGTTCTGCTTAGCTAACAAGCTATAATGTATTTTACCTTCAACAGTATCTCTACATTGTATACGCATCGCTGGCAACATTGGTCTTCTCTGTTGTAAGTGTTTGTCCATAGTTTTCCTGAAGTATTCCCATACTGCTAAATCAGATTGTATATACTGCATACTGACTGTCTGACTCAATAATGTGACATTCATCTTCAATCTTCTCTTTCTTTGTCTCTCTTTAGTACCTGGTGATAGACACACAGCTAATGCTGGGAGGGAAGCACAAATACAGCCTCGATCCGGAGGAGTACATTTTTGCCGCTCTGAATCTCTACCTTGATATTATCACCATTTTCCTGCTGATACTTCAGTTGATCGGGCTCAGTCGCTGATCTACCAAATGGAAAATTCATCGAAGGCCCTGTCCTGTGTTGCTGCACTCTGCAGCTTTGTGATTCTGTATTTATTTTTGCACCAATTTCTTCATGTTTGTATGATTGCAGATGTTGATATTGAAGTATCATGGAACTTTCAGTGTGATGTGAGCTTTGTAATACAGGTTCTTTAAATGAATTGTCATGTGCAGTTGTTTGAATGCCTTGTAATTGTGAACTCATGGGCAATGCATAGCTTCTACCTCACTCACTAATTAGAAGGTTAGGGGGTAGAGACTGACCACAAGTTGACCTATATATTGTATATTTTTATTATCAATTTTTCAAAATTATTACTAGGCAGTAGTCTTTAAACATAATGTCTGTATAAATATAAAGGATTGTTGAACTTGGAAGATGATCAGGAGACACAGCAAGTAATGCTATCAGTAAATTCACTGAAATTCCTTCCCCAGCTCAATTTTGTTTTTCTTATTGGGGGTTGGGGGGGGAGGGGGGGCTTTACTCCTAGAGGAAGTCCAGGATCCTCCCAAAGCACTCTCTCAAAAATTATGCAGAAATAATGTGCAGAAGTGTGTTCTCTCTAGAGGATGTTTTAACCTGTTTTTGCTTAGAAAATCAACAAAGCGTTTCATTTGCCTGGAAGCACTCAAACTTTTGCATACAACTATAAATTCACCTATTTAGCCTGCAGCAGACTAGCCCCACCTATGTTGAAGTTATAAATAGTGTTTCAACCCAGACTGCTTTTTGAATGAGGCACAATACAGACACAGTAACAAAAAAGTCTGTTTAATTCTAAGGAGATAAGGAGAGTTTGTAATATGGTCAAGTAAAATAAAATAATTTAATTTTATTCATTAAACCACACAAACATTACAGGTGTGTCGGGACCAAAGGCTGTCCCCTTCAACCCCACTTACACTAATAACTGTTTTCAGTCTAAGTTCTCAAAAGATGTCAAAAATGAAAGAGTCTTCAGATGCTGAGTTTGTGAAAGAGGGAAAAAGGATTCTTCTTTATTTCAGCATCAAGTGGCACAGGGTCTCGAGAGACCCAACTGTGCAAACAGTGTTCCAAACAACAGTTTATATACCAGTTATCTGGGGTAATTTGATATCTCCCTGCCTTACTTCTCAAATTTTGATATTGGCTTATTCTCTAATAGGTGCATCTCTTCGTCCATCAATTTGGCCATTGCATGTTGCACTCACTCCTAAAAACTGGTTTCAACCGTTTTTTACCAGTCTGCTTTACCTTTCGAGGTCAACTTGTACCACTGGGTCAGTACGTACACACAGGCCTCTCTGTGAACCCAGGGGCTTTCCAGTGTCTAGAATCTCTTATGCAGACAGACTAAGGCCTACCCTCTGGTTCTACATTAGGTACCAGCTTTTTACTGGAAACCATATCATTATTACCTCTCATCCACAGGTCAACTGCAAGTAATCTTGCAAGTCAGACTTCTGCATAAAGTCTGTACCTATGTAGGCTTGAAACTTTAATTGCAAGTAACTTGTCACATCTCTCAGTGTAGTACCAACATCACCCCCATCCCTCTTCTCTCTTCACTTTGATTGCATATGTCTCCAAGTGATAATGTCCACCACTTGGTGGCATCCTTTCTATTCTTTGAGAGGGCTTCAAAATGTCTATATTGCCTAATGTACTTTAATAACATTAGTGAACACGAACTGATTCACTCAGCCAGCGAGCTGATCAGCTCGCCAACCAATCAGCACTCAGTAATAGTTATTTGACAGCCAATCAGCACTCAGTAACAGTAACACTAAGTGAAATACATCATTCTACTTTCCAAAGCTAAAGAACAGGTTTTGTATCCGAATCAGTTCCCCCTCACGTTCCCTTTGACAAATCAGGTCCGCTGGGGCGCGCGCATTCACTGAACAGACAACAACGTCAAGCAACACTGGAACTACGGAAAGCGAAAGCGTTCAAACAATGTTTGACGAACAGTACAGAAAGTGTTTACCAGTAAGATTGTTCAGTCAAATTGAAAATAATATTTATCACGGAATTTTAATTATGCTGTGAAATCTTGGGTGAATTTATACTGGGGATTGGATGAAAACATGCGCCCGTTCAATCTCTTTTTTTAAAACTTTTTCGCTCTCCTTAGTTCCAGTGTTGCTTGGCGTTGTTATCTGTTCAGTGAATGCGCGTGCCCACGGACCTGAATTTGAGGGGGAACTGATTCGGATAAAACACCGGCTCTGACTCCACAACCAGCAAATCTCAATGGCGCCCTCTTTGTGATTGTAGAGATAGGCTCTCTTTTTTTGCCTCCACCCGTTTTCGAACAAATCCCGCCTGCCGCGCTAGGATTGGAGGGACTGCTCGTGATAGCCAATCCTAGGACAGGAGGCGTGATACTGCTAGCCACTCCTAGCGTAGAAGACGAAATACAGGTGGGGAGGAAAAAAAATAACACGTCCTTGTAGGCCTACAGTAGATGTGTCATGGCGGACTCCGGAGGGAGAGTATACAAACGGGAAGAAACGTTCTCAAGACATAACAGAGGGACTGGAAACGGCCAGGAGACGAAAGCCGTTAACAGGCACAGCTCGCAGAGCAAGCGGGACGTTACTACGTCGGAATATTGCGAAAAACTGCAGGAATGGATGTGGCAGTATTACTGCGGTTACGTGAACTGGCAAAGCTGGATGAGTGTGTCTGCGTTTTCTCTCCCACCGTGTTCTCCGACACCAGGACTACCGACATGGAGAGCAGACTTGGCTAACGGCTTCTCAGTTTCGCCCACTCATGTATCCACTGTGTCCACTGATACTTTTGTTGGAAATACTGGACTGAGAGGAGAAGTTCGCGGGCAGGGCTCGCCGCTCCTGACAGCACGCCTGCCCAACAGCCACAACAGAATGGAAATGCTCCACAGCCAGGTATCGAGTTAGGGGAGGTGTGTCGTTTGTCCCTCTTGTTAAAACAGTCAGCTTGGGAATACTTGAGGTTTCATCTTGAAATGCAACATTCAACACTAGAACACTAGAATACACTAGAAAACAGTAGGATACTAAACACTGTACTACTAAGCATACACAAGACATTTCAACACTCTAACACTCATCACTACAACACCAACACTATAGCATGATAACAGGCCTATCCCAAAGTCTACACTTTTGGTTTGTGGGCTTTCTTAAAGGGTAGTTCCACCAATTTTCCAAAATTTCTGAATAATCCAGTCCTTGAGATGTAAACAGAGTCATTCAGAGTGATTTGACGAGAAACAGTTCAGTGTGGAGATACTTACGGACACACATTTCTTTACAGTGGTGGTGATAGTAACAAGGGGTCAGGATGTCTGCGACACAAATATAGCCATTTTATTTACTATCCAAAACCAAAAGTTAACCTTCACGTGTTTTCTGAATTTTTATTTGCAATGTTGATAATGGTAAAATAGTCACAACTCTGAAAAATAAGTTTTCTTTTGGAGCTATTTTGCCTTACGATGCCCTGCACGTACCCCTCCACCATGAATGGATTCAAATTCATTTCACGCCAAAACATTATTACAAAACCATCATAAAACAAGTCTTTGTCAGACAGCAGGCAGCATATATCTAACCACTAATAATGGTTAGAGTAATAGCTTTCTCTGTGGGAGATGAGTGTGGATGACTTTGTTTACATCTCAACCCTTTAATCATGTAGAATATTTTGAGAAATTGGTGAAGTTCCCCTTTACGTGCCCACCTGAGTGCATTAGCGCTCAATAAAGGGGTATTCCACAAATCTTTCAGAATTATATGCAAACTTCAATCAGTGTAAGCAAAGTTATTCTGAATGGTTCGATGCAAAATCTTCCATTCTAAAGATAATTGCCAAGTCAGAATTAAAGTGGTGGTGATTGAAACCAGACACAGCAAGAGAAGCATTTGATGCTTTTAAAATCTACCTCACAGAAAGCTATTTCATGAAATGTCTGCAAATATGTTGCCTGCGTGCATGAAACATTGTTACATTGTTACATTGTTTTATGATAGATTTTTGATAAAACACCTTTTTAAAATCCGCTCTTGGCAGAGAGATCCATGCAAGGCATTGTAAGGCAAAATAGTACCAAAAGAAAATTTATTTTCTTCAATTTACCACTTTTTGACCAACATCAGGATTACATATAAAAACTCAGAAGTAGGGCTGGGCGATAAAACGATAACGATAATGACCGCGATATAACTTTTCCTCGATAGAGCGATACGACATGTTCGATAAATGTTCAATATAATACACCGTTCTCACACCACGTTCAGCAAAAGCCTTGGTGGCGTTTTCTACTGCAAGGAAAGCGACGCTACTCTGCTGCCGCCAGGAGAGGGCGCACTTCCGAGTTTTTCGACATGATTAGAGAGGGAGGGGCGACGAGTAAGAGGAGTCTTTAGCAACGGCTGAAACGCGGAGTTATACATTCCCTGTTTGAGTGGAGCGACCGGCGATCTGTTCTCCTGTGACTGAGTGTGAGTGACGAGATCAGTGGTGTAACTACTGTCCTACAGCGAACTCACCTCTTTCCTAACACCCTAACCAGCTTTAGCAGCGTTAAATCACAATCACACTTCTCACAACTACAGCGCTGTTACAGCACTCGGACAGTCATATTTAAGTATTAGTGCATTCCCGAGCAACGAAAGTGAAAGAAAGAAGTGGGTTCATGTAAATTACAGCCCTGATTTAAACGAAAGTAAACTGAGGATGCTGTGAGGCATTGGAGAGCGCCGTCTTTCCAGGCTAGCTGTTTTTAGCAGTTGGCTAACTTGAAGCAGCGCTCCGTCACTCGCACGACACGGAGAATTGATGATACTATAGATCAAACAAGACACAAAAGCACCGCTTTCACTTTAAACGTACCTAAAAGGAGGACTCTGTTTGTCTGATGTTGATATTTTGCGGTTCACCCTTTAAACTGCTACGATAGTATAGAGCAATCCAGTCGTCGCTAGCTGATGTCTGAATGCTGTGATGTCATTTGTAACGGGGTAGCCGAGCGCTCGTCACCAGCTGAAAATAATCTGTTTTCTTTCTTAAATTATGACTATTACAAAATAGCCATCGTTTTCCAGCTGGTAAAAACAGCTCACCAGACACTCTCTCCCACTCTCCCATGACAGATTTGTGAAATGTTCCACTGTTTGGTGAGTGTTTGTCGTGTTCAACCATAAAGGATCGTTTAAAACAGCAGTTAACCACTCAGGAGCAAAAATCAGCCTTCAAACTTGAAAGAAATAATGATTTGACATTTATGGCGGTATGTATCGATATCGAACGATATGAATTTTGTTTACTGTGAAAACATTTTTGGCCATATCGCCCAGCTCTACTCAGAAGATGTATAGATTCACTGGTTTTCACAGTTTGACAGTAAAAAAAAATGGCTGTATTTGTGTTGTTGACATTATGACCCCTGGTTCCAATCACCACCATTATATAGAAGTCAGAGTCTGTACGTTTCTCCACAGTGCACCATTAGCTGAGGTCAATCACCAAACTGTGCAGGAATCCAGCCCTCCAGGACCAGAGTTTCCCACTCCTGCAGTAAACACTATTATACTAGACACTGCAATACAAAACACTATAAAGCCAGAAACGTGCAAACGCAAATAACAACGCATTGCAAAAACTCAGCATGCATTCTTACATTACTGTGGTAGTTAAAACACTCAAGGGGCAATAGAGGACAAATCAGAATGGCAGCTGGCGTCATTCCAACATATAGGCAAGCAAAGCATTTTTTCGAGAGACTCGTCCAACTGCTCATCTGCTATGACAGTCGACCGAGAGTTAAGTTTTATTTTACCTTTATTTAACCCGTGTAATCACAACTTTTTTACAAGTGAGCCCTGGCCAAAAAGGCAGGTAACTACTTGATGGTAATGGTAACTACTTCAACTCTAGAACCCACCACTATTATATTAGATATGACAACGCTATAACACCACAAGGAACAACACAGGGAGTTTCCTGAAAGGGCAAGCAGCTCACAGTTCCACATGTACAGTATGCCTGTTATGATTTGTTTATAAACTGCACACTTCTGCTGTTCCTGTGACTTATGTACAGTATATATGTTTTAGGTCAGGAGTATTCCATTCCCTCTCCTTTTCAACGTTTCTTGGCTGAGATGGTGGATTTCTTCATTCTTTTCTTCATAAAAGCAACCATCATCCTCAGCATAATCCACTTGAGTGGAATGAAGTAAGTTGGCCACTTTGCATCATTATTTTAATAATGTTCTTCCAATAATTGATTAATTGATCAACTCATAATAGCTAATAATAGGAATTTCATTTGTGTCTAAATATACAAAGTAATGGTTTGGCCAAAAAGCTAATTTTCTTAGTTTTCTTACACCAAATGTAGTCAGTCAGCCAAGACATGTTTGTTGTCTGGAGTTTGCTTTAGTTTTGCGTTGAAGCTTCAGGCTAATATAGCTAAAAAGTAATGAAGGCTTATAGCCACCAGGTTAGCATTAAACAGATTTGATGTTTGGCCCAATCATTGCTTTCTTCAGGTTCTGAAATTTTAAGTGTGTTCATATTACTGAGTTAAACTGAGAAGAATCTGTTTCTATGTATCGTATGTGTACTTAAGTCTTTTGAAATTCAGTGTATTGTACAGCTGTAAGTGTTTCTGTGTTTAATAATTTTAGAGATATATCAAAGTTTGCCATGCACTTCATTGTGGAAGAAATAGATGAAGACACATCAATGGAGGAGCTACAGAAAATGATGCTTGTGGCTCTGGTGTACCGGATATTGGTTTGCTTCTACGAGGTCAGTTTGAATGCCTTAATCAAATAAAGATTGACATAAAGCTGTTTTGTTGGAAACTTTTTAACACTTGTCTTACTTTTTAGATCGTATGTATTTGGGGAGCTGGTGGAGCCACTCCTGGGAAATTCTTGATTGGCCTGCAAGTGGTTACTTGTGACACTTCAGTCTTGGTGCAACCCAACCGTGTCCGTGTGGTGCCAGCAACTAACGTCAGTCTGTCTGCGTGAGTTTGGATGTTCATTTAGATCTTTGAATTGCTGCTTTTGCATTATAAGGTCCAGTCAGCATTTCACTAGGCTGATTGTGTAAATCTCTGATATTTAGTGCCTTGTTTTGACGTTTGTTACAATATAAACCACTCAGTTCTCAGGGTTTATTGGTTGAATGTCGTTAGGCCAGTCTTCATTAATACACCGATCAGGCATAACACACACCAACACACCACCACCACGTCAGTGTTACTGCAGTGCTGAGAATGATCCACCACCCAAATAGTACCTGCTCTGTGAGGGTCCATGGGGGTCCTGACCACTGAAGAACAGGGTAAAAGGGGGCTAACAAAGTATGCAGAGAAACAGATTGACTATAGTCTGTAATTGTAGAACTACAAAGTGCACCTATATAGTAAGTGGAGCTGATAAAATGGACAATGAGTGTAGAAACAAGGAGGTGGTCATAATGTTATGCCTGATCTGTATATTGCTAAACAGTCCCTCACCACCTACTCACCTTTATAACTAACAGCTCAGCTTCAAAATAAGACCAAATTAACAGAAACCAACAAAACCACAAAAACTGGAATGCTCTACCCCCAGAGAGTCAAATAACAGACTCTCATGCTGGCTAGCATTGCCTTGAATGATAGAGATGGGAGAGGAGGGACAGTCCCTTCCACTCAGAGAGAGCAAGGCCATTTATGCTTTCTTGGGCTCATGGTTACAAATGGCTGTGGCATCATTGATAGTAAGGCTTAGATGGTTGCGCCACTTTGGAGCCGTGTTTATACAAGTTAGACACTGAAATACTGATAAACATCAGTAAAGCGCTGTTTAACGTCCATGCAAATCAGCCAACCCTCACAATGTTTTGAAGGGCTTGCAATTTGGTCCAATCAACACATTATTTCTGCATTAAATGTGGGATTATCAGTTATTTTATTTTCTATTTTATTTTCTACAACCTTTTACATTAAAAAGCCAGCCTGTGCTTTATATACATTTTAGTGATCCTTTTATTTTAAATACAGGGCATCAAACATTGTCCCACCATGCTTATATGATTTTTATATGAATGTTGCATATACTATTTCTTGTTACAAGGGTTTACTTATTGTAAGTGTACAGCTTTTATGCTACATGCCAGGAAGCCATGAATGAGACAGAGATCGCATTTGCCAATGTCCTTTTTTTAAAAATCAGGAACTAACTGCTTTAGGCATTTAAAACAGGTTAAAAATATGGCAGACTGACAATCACAGACTTCTACAGTTGTATTGCACTTCCCGTCCTTCAAAAAATAAAGTGCAATTATTTTTGCACATTTTACTTTAAGCATTTTATTCTGCTACAATCCCCAAAAATGGCCTCGAGAACCTGGTCGTGCTGGTTTAACTGAAGCTGCCATCTGTTTTACTTTTGACTATCATTTTTTATTTTATTTTATTAGCTCTGTAAAATCAGTATCAGTTACACAGTTTTTGTATTGGTTTGACCCTATTTCGTATTGAATTTGCACTTAATCTCAAATCAGTATATATAAATCAAATAACTATATTATGCCATTATGCAGCATTACTCAAACTCTCTATGTATCTCTGACATCTTCATCTCTCTCTCCATTTAGGTCAACGGTACGGGCCTTGAACAAGAACTTCTCCATTGCGTTTTTCTTCCCGGCATTCATCACGCTGCTCTTTTTCCAGCACAACAGAACTGTGTACGATATTGTGGCAGGCACCATTGTGGTCAAGAGAAACAGGCCGAGATGATCTCTCTGTTGTAATCAAGGCCAAACCTGCACCATCATATGCACAAATGAACCTTCTGAGAAAAGAAGTCCAGGTGAATCTGAACTGAACCAAAGTCTTGCTGGGGCTGCAGGAGAGAGGGAAATTCAGGGACTCCTCTGACCAGTCCATCGAAAACTCCAAGTATTTTTCACTCCAGGTACCTACAGAGAGCTCTTGAAAACCTGAATTGCTGTTAGTTTTGCGATCTAACTTGCATCAGCTGGATTACGTCCTAGTGCCAAATAACATTTTCTAAAGATGGATCCCTCTCTATAGTTTTGAGTTATACAAAGACCTTCCATCTGTTTCCATTGTGAAATTTTATACTTCAAAATGTTTGTTTGAGCGTCAAGACTTCAAGCTAGAATAGGTAAATTATAATAACTTATTATTCCAAGTTATACTTTAATGTTACTTGCTTGTTTGACTAAACGTTTACCCCAAATGTTTGTGTTAAAAGATAGTTAAAGATTTTGTTTGGTTAATTAATTTGCCAAAACTGTATAGCCTTAACGCGCAGATTAATATGGCTTTTTTTCAGTAATATGCTGTTTTGCACACAACAAGCATCACTGCATGCCTTCCTTTGGTTACAATAAAATCTGACATTTTTGCCTCTTTTCACTGTAAACTGCCTCGTTCTAGAGCTCAGTAATTTCACTCACAATATCTCAAATAGCAAAGGTTACTGCTTGTTTCATTTAATATGTTTCAGGTTATGGTTCTGAATATATTAATACAGTGTGTAGTATGTAAATCATTGAATTTTCATATTAGCTGCCTCTTAGAGGCACCCTCTAGCCAAAACACAAATTTAACCATTGCTACCTCTGTTGTAAACATACTTACTTGCGTTCTACATTGGTGCACCAGTAGCCTTTAAAGTGAGATTTTCCAGATTAAATACTAGGAAACCTCCGTTTTGCTTATGTATCTTGAAGGTGGGAAGGAATTTTGTTGTTGTGTTTAGCGGCGGGAAGATTTGAAATATAACTGCTAGCAAACATACTATCTTATTGCACTATCCCTTTAAGGACTGTTTGCAAATCATCATTGCAGTTGACAGAATGGATTATTTAAACCACAGAAATAAAAAAGACAAGAAGCTGAAAGGTGAAAATTAGCAAGGAAGCTACCTGGAGAGTCCACTTTATGCTGAGTAAAGATAGAATCACTGTCTTCGTTATGATTGTTTTTTGGCAGCCAATGTAAAAGTTACTCTAATGCTAGCTTGGTTGTATTTACTTGCCTAAAGATCGGTGTTCAGGCTAGCAGTAATGATTGGGTGACATCACAGAGATTCCCAATGAAACACTAAAATATGTTTGCCCAGCTGAATCAGAAAGACACGTGATTTGAACTCCCCTACAGTGAGCTGTAACATTTCTCTTGTATCAAGGATTTCCAGTGGTTGTACGAGTGAATAAACATTGATGAAAGAAAACATGAAAACAGCATAAAATGGTGAAACTGATAGGGCTGAGGAATATGACGCTGCACTACAGAATACTGCATAACACAACAGACAACATTAAAGTCTAGTTTTAGAGAATGTCCCATTAAGCTGTATTCAGAAATGTGTTTGTTGTGCCATGACTAGGGCCTTATCGATTAAATGGGCTGGCCAGTAATATTGGTAGTTATTGAGGGCAAGCAAATTTATCGATACTACTAAATTCCTGCCATTAAAGCTCCATTGTGTAGTCGATATTTAATCTGTACGCAGAATCTTAAGCCAAGTAAGTTTGAATCCCATCATGGTTAAAATAACTCCAGTCAGAATGATTGTTTTTGTCAAAATCAGTTCAATATTGCCTTAACATCTAGTTTTTCTTTAAAGTATTTTATTTTACCATTCTGCGTAGCTGCACTTATTTTAACTATGTGATATAGATAACCGTACTTAATAACATCCCAAAATATTTCCCTTGACATTTCTCAAAACTGCATTTACAACCTTGTTTACACAACATTTTTCACAACAATTATTTTTCTATGCAATAAATGGTTAGTAGTATTATGTCAAGTGGTGAGTGAGTGGTGAAATGTCTTGAAGATCATGGTACAAGTCAAGCTACATCTGCTTACTACTAGTAAACTCAATACTAGTAGACTTAAATTCAATGTCCTGAATTATGGGAAGTCTTCACAGACATACAGGGCTGGTTTCACAGAACAAGATAAAGCATGTAAGTCTGGTATAATGGAGAATTCCCACTGGCATCGCAATTTAGTCTGAGGCTTATAAGACTTGCCCAGTGTGTGTTTCCTTTGTCACCAGTAGATGGGGTGAGAATGCTAAAGATTCCCTTTGTATACAGACTAAAGATGACTGGATTTAAGATATAAATGGAGTGATATAATGTGGTGTATCTTGTCATGTAGGTGGATAGTTCAGAATACTTCAAACTATGGTTGCAGAGCAGTAGGAGGGGGAGGTACATCTAAGGACTTGAACTGGGGTCCTGGGGCCTCTTGGCAAAAAAGGGTTCATGTCTTGTAACAATAGTGGAACCTTTTTTATGCTGTACCGAACCATTTTTTGAAGAACCATTTAATTCATTAAAGAATCATTTAACCATGTAAAGGACCATTTATGCACTTATAAGTATTTACAGTTCTATATATATACAATTGTCTTTATTTAAGAACCCGTAACAAACCACTTTTTAAGGGTGTGATTTTCTTCAGAGTGTGGTTTACATATACACATTTGGCAGACACTCAATTTACCGTTTTAAAAATCATGTTACAGAAGTGGATGAATGTAGAGTTAAGGAGTCTTGGTATAGCATGGTGTGCTGGCCTGGGCAGGAAACTGAGCCCCAGTCTGCCATGTGGAGGTCAGCGGTATTATCCACAACGCTAGTTCCAGCCTAACGTGCTACCCTTCCCTTCATGTAATACTAATGCATCTGATCCAGCCAATCAAGAATCAATCAAGGTGGAGCAGATGTGGCAGAATGCGGTTGGAACTAGACTCCACAGGGAGGACTGGGGTTGGTGACCACTACCTTAAATCTTATAGTAAAACTTTAATGCAATTTGCTGCATGTTCTCAGTTGCATGAAACAAAATATCTGTATAATTCAAATACAATCAAAGTTATATGCAACAGATTCAGTCGCTGCACTAGATATCATATTGTTCTATATAAATTATCTGCAAGGTGTTATTTACATATTTGCAGTATTTGTATCTTTTTTTTTCTACCTGTTGCTGTTCAGGGTAGGTTTTCAAAAGCCTTTGAAAATTAATGCTTAAGCAGCCATTACGGTTGTGCTTGATGTCTCTCTCATCTTTTCCTAGAAGCACTGTGAGGATTTTAGAGAACCACATCCTTGTCATTTGCTTCCCAAAAGAATCCCCACTCTAAAATTAGTGGGTATCAAGAGAGAAGAAAATAAGTCTAGCTACGTAAATCGCAGCAGGCTAACAAAGAAGAATAAGCGCTGGCACAAACAGCAATTTAAACAACTGTTACCACTAGTGAGTAGTTAAGCCAGCTGGATACACAAGAAACTCACGTTTCATTGTTGGTATGGCTCAGGAAACTGACAAAATGAAAAACTACCAACCTTTCATAAAGTCAATCAGGAGGATCTCCATTTCAGCGGCCCAGTAAACCATCTGTTTTATTTTCTTGTCCATTGATCCAGTGAAATCACTTATTTAGAATTATGTCCTTTGTTTGACTGTTTTATGAAGCTTATTTCACGAAGTTGAGACGCTGTGGCAGCTGAGTTGCAGGACATTTTACATTATGCAACTCATGCAAGTTTCAAGCAACTAAAGTGGCATGAAAATTTCACAGTGAAACTTTCACATAACTTCAGTTGCTTGAAATCTACATGAAACTACACTTGAGTTGCATGATGTAAAACGTCCTGCAACTCATTTGAAACTCAGCTGCAGTGGTTTCATGGAACATCAAATGAAAACAGCAATAATGCATCACATGATCACTTTGAACAACATACTTTCAAATGATTGATTTTACTCATTCAGAAAATAAAACAGAAGATGGCTTAAACACCCCACCACCCCACCTGACTCAAGGGTGGTATTGCCACGGCAACAAACATTAGTTGGTCGAAGCTAACGTTTCTGTAACCAGCTGCGTTAACTAGTCAGTTAACGGTAACAGCTGCTTAATCAGCTGTTAAGGTTATCTACTAGCTACATTCATTTTCTCCTTTCTTTGTGCCCCTTAATTTTTCACAGAGCTGAAGGGAGACTAAGACGTGGTCCGCAATTAACTTGTTGTATGAGACATCAAGTAGGCTATGACCGTAATGGCTACTTAAATATTCATTTTCAAAGACTTAACATACCAGCAACAGAAAAAATTGTAAATATATGGTAAAACACCTTAGATATATAGATAAGTCAGATATATAGATATAGAAAAAGAGAATAGTAATGAAAGCTGGAAAAAATAGAGCCTACGAAGATGATAAAATGCTGATACTATGTAAATTACACATCATGGGTGACTTTATAACAAAAAAAATCTGTAACAAAAAATACAAGCTGCCAATTTAGCTAACTAGTGGGCTAATGTGTTGCGTGCAACTTGTTTTTGAACTGCTTTGTCTAAAGTTGCACAGGAATTATTTTGCAGACAACTCACAACATGCAACTAGTTGCATGAAAGTTTCACTATGTTAAGCCAGGCTTAGACTGTGAGCTCCACGTAACACAACCAGCTCAGATCATTGTGCTTTTGTATACCCAAACACTCCCAATTTCAGTAGTGTGGTGGCTTCAATAGTGTGGCTTTCATGGCACTATATGGTTAAGCTCTAGAGCTGTCTCAGGAAAAAGGCTTTAGCAGTGCCTCTCTTTTCATGTGTCAATAATGCACTTACTAGGTTGGGCTTCACCAACATGGAAAGCAAAGCTGACAGGGACAGATGGTTCTGTCTCATAAACAGGCCCCCACTCCCCACAGATCTCTCTTTCTTGCTTGCTCTCCCTCTCATTCTCTCTCCCCTACCCACTGAGTCCACTTCCCGCTAATTCCCTGTCACCATCACGCAGCCATTATTGTGGATGGCACACGTAATTTGGTGAATGCAGCTCAACTGTGCTCATCCTTGCCCTGTTTTCATCTGACACTGAGCTTTTATTGCACCTGTATGATGTCATTCTGCGGGGAGCGAGTTCATGCTTTGGGTCAGTGGTTTCTCATAAATAACAAGATAAGCTTAGTGGCACGGACGTCTGTGTCTGAAGTCAAGGAAACAAGGAAAGCGAGTCGAGACATCTCTCTTTTACACGCACAGTGATCAGACACATTCCAGACTGAAAGATGATTTTCTTTAGAAAACACTAACAATGTGGACACCTGGCCATCACACCTAGATGAGCTTGTTGGACATCCCATTCTGCCAAACCTGGATTCGTCTATCAGACTGCTTGATGAAATGTAATGCTTTACTCCAGAGAACATGTTTCCACTGCTCCAGAGTCCAGTAGTGGTGTGCTTTAACTAGTCAACGTTGGGCATTGCACATAGTGATCTTAGGTTTGTGTGCTGCTGCTTGGGCATGGAAACCCATTTCATGAAGCTCCTGTTGAACAGTTATTGTGCTGATGTTGCTTCCAAAGGCAGTTTGGAACTCTGTA